TATATATATATAAAAAACATGTACTCAAATATACTAGCAAAAATATTTAGCAAAAGTAAATGAATCTATAAATTGTAGATTTTGTATGTAAATATATAAAAATTGTATAAGTACAAATTTTGCATTATTAAATTATAATTAGATGTACACTATACATAAATGTTAGGAAAAAGTACAAAAAAAAGCACATTGAAAATATCTAAATTACAAATATATTTTTACATAATATATTAGTAGAAAATATTAAGTAAAAAATAAACGTAGATGTAATAAGAATAAACTACTTAAATATATTAGTAAAAGACTTTGTTAAAGTAAATATAAATTGTAGATACATTTTACTCTTATATAAATAACATATCTAGTAAAAAAATAAGTTATAGCATGCATCTATAAGATGCATAAATTATTGAAAATGTATAGTAAAAAAAAAAAAACTGTAGATATACATTTTATATATTAATTAGCAAAAATATATAATTTTAGAAATACTTAAGCATAAGCAAAATAAAACATTTAGTAAAACTAATTAGGGCTGCCACTAATGACTACTTTTATTTCGATTAATCTATCGACTAATTTATTGATTACTCGATTAATCTAAACTATTAATTTCCCACAAAAAAAATATTTTACTTAAGAATATTTTATTAAACCAAATTAAATCCAAATTCCTATGAAATCCTGTTTAAAGCAAAGTAAAGTGCAACAAAGTGCAAGCAGCAAGTGTCCATCTCATAGTTCAAATCACTGAAATCAAAGTTCAGTATTATAGTGTAAGAATGACAACATATCCAGGTGTTCTAGTCTACTAATAATAAAATTATAATCAAAACACTTTTTCAAGGAGTATTTACCAGAAATGTTATTTACCAGAATTTAGGAGAAAAATGTAAATGTGCAGTATTTCTGAAAGAATTAAAAAAATTTTTTTTTTAATAAAATCAATTAATTGGAGATGCTTTTGATTATTAAAATTTAATGGAACTAGGGGTCGACCGATTATCGGTGCCGATATTAAGCATTTTTATGATTATCAGTATCGGTCATTTTTAAAACAGATTCGCCGATAAAATAACTTAATTTTGAAACGCGCTATTTGGCTCTAATGCAGGCTGTCAGAAATCACCACTCTGTGGCCTAAAGCAATCTCCACCCACCGCCCATCTGATTTGTTGGGAGTCAGGAGTTTGACCAATCAATGCGGAATTTACTCACTCCGAAAGCGCTTGCTAACTGGAGCTACTTCAGTGATCACGCATCAGTTGTCTCTCAAAGGTAAGGCAGCAGCAGACGCTGCTTAATTTGCAATAAATCACAAT